GGGGTTATTTGGGTTCATCAAAGCCCAAAGAAGACAAGAGAACCTATTTTCAGTCCAAAGTATTCGGTAAGATGAAAAACCTCATATTTCTCCCTTTTTTATATATAATTTTATTTTTAGGGTTTGATTAAGTTCAATTTGGTTTTGTCAAATTTTGGCTTCATTTTTCTCTCTCTTTCCTCTGTCAAGAAAATTAGAGATTTAAGTATTATTTAATTTTATAATACACATAGAAATTAAGAATTTTTTGTCAATTCTCACCATGTGAAATTATGATCTTCTTATGCGTAGTCCATTTGATCGTGAGTGATAAATTTCTACCATTTTTGTTGTAGGTAATTGTCAAATCAAATGGTTGAAAGTATAAGCTGAATTTTAGTCTCCTTTTTTCCCAAAATACCCCCAACCTAAAACAAAATTATCAAGTTGCCAAATGTAAATACATTTAATATGTAAGGGCAGAATAGGTTGAAGAACAGCTGAACAGTCTCAGCTGAAATTTGATCCTCTTTTTTTCTTGAAATACTCCTAACCCAAAACCAAAGCATGAAGTTACTAAATATGAATACAATCAGAAGAGAGGAAAAAAAAAACAACCAAAGGGGCAAAAGAGAAAATGACTATATGAACAGTATTTGATAAAATTTGACCTGGACTCCCTAAAATATCCTTGGGTCCAAAACAAATTTTAGATATTAAAACTGAAGATAAATTGAAAAATGGATGACATTTCCGGAAGAAGAAGAAAAAAAATTCATCTAGCTTTTAAACCATGTTTTTTATAGATCGTCTCTTATTCGTCGTCTAGGCACAGAAGGAGAGTTGCGTCTCATGTTCAATGTTTCCACCAAAGCAATTTCAAGAACCAAACACTTCAGATTCTCTTCATCGTCTTCATCTCCAAAATCAATCTCAAGCTCAAAACCCATCGAATTCTCTCTCGTCTCCGCTCTCAAATCATGCTCCTCCTCCTCCTCCCTCTCCTCAGGCCAACAGCTCCACGCTCACGCTCTCAAATCCGGCCTCGACAGCTCCAACCTCTTCGTCCGCAACGCCCTCATCAACCTCTACGCCAAATGCGGCCTCCTCGGCGATGCCCGCTTCCTCTTCAGCTCATCAGCCTCCCTCGACACCGCCTCTTTTAACACCATGCTCGTCAGTTATGTCAAATCCCGCAAAATCGACGAAGCCCGCAACTTGTTTGATGAAATGACCCAACGAGACTGTGTCTCGTTTACGACGATGATAATGGGCCTTGCCCAAAATGGGTTTTCGGCGGAAGCCCTGTTGTTGTTTTCCCAAATGGTGGGCGATGGAGCTAGGCCCAATGAGGTTACGCTGGCGACCGTGCTCTCGTCTTGTGCTCGTTTGTGTCGTGATTTGGGGAAGATGGTTCATGGGTTTGCGAAGAAAACCGGTCTTGATGGGTTTGTTCTTGTAGGGACCAATTTGGTGAATTGGTATGGTGTTAGTTCCGATTTAGAGGACGCTAAGAAAGTGTTTGATGAAACGCTGGAGAGGAATACGGTCACATGGAATGCGATGCTTAATGGATATGCGAAGGGGGGAATGGTGGACTTGGCTGAGGATTTGTTTCAGAGGATCCCTGTAAAGGATTTGGTATCTTGGAGCACAATGATTGATGCATACTTGAGGGTGGATATGTTGGATGAAGCTCTTTTTGGATTCTGTGAGATGTTGAGAAGAGACCCAGAGGCAAGACCAAATGAAGTAATGCTTGTAGATCTAGTTTCTGCCTGTAGTCGCCATGCCGCATTAGGAGAAGGAAGCCAGTTGCACACTGTGATAGTTAAAGCTGGATTGGATGGTCATTCTTTTGTTCAGGCAACACTTATACATTTTTATGCTGCATGTAAGAAGATTGAGCTTGCTTGTGTGCTGTTCGAGTCATTTGACAAGGAAAATATTTCGTGTTGGAATGCTCTGATGGCAGGATTTCTAAGGAATGGCATGGTGGATGCAGCGAGGAGTTTGTTTCATGAGATGCCCGAGAGAGATGTCGTTTCTTGGAGTAGCTTGATATCTGGATATATTCAATTTGACAGTTCCGATCTAGCATTAGAGCTTTCTCATGATATGATCAGGCATGGAGTTAAACCTAATGAGATTACACTTGTTAGCGTTCTTTCTGCTATTGCAAATTGTGGACCACTGGAACAAGGGAAATCTGTGCATTGCTATTTATATAAAAATAATCAGTCCATTCCTCTTACTGATAACTTAATAGCAGCCCTGATTGATATGTATGCGAAGCGAGGAAACATCAACGGTGCATTGAGGGCATTTTCTTATCATCAGAATGCTACACCTTTCTCGACAACATCACCTTGGAATGCAATAATTTGCGGTCTAGCTATGCACGGTCATGCTGAAATGTCTCTCAAAATATTCTCAAATATGCGAGAAGGGAAATTTGTTAAACCAAATGCTATTACATTCATTGGGGTTCTGAGTGCTTGTTGCCATGCTGGGTTAGTTTCTGCCGGGAGACAACATTTCAAGTCTATGATGAGTGTGTACGGAATAAACCCAACTATCAAGCACTATGGTTGTATGGTGGATCTTGTAGGACGAGCGGGTTGCTTAGAAGAGGCAGAGAGATTGATCATGGATATGCCGATGAAGGCAGACGTGATGATTTGGGGAAGCATGCTCTCCAATGCAAGGACTCATGGCGATATGGAAGTAGCGGAACGGGCTGCAGAGAGATTGGCGAGGCTAGAACCAAGTCACGGGGCAGGGAGAGTGCTCTTGTCCAATGTTTATGCAGATGCTGGCAAGTGGGATAATGTGTTTGTTGTTAGGAGAGAGATGCAGCAAGAAAGATTGACAAGGGTCCCTGGATGTAGTGGCATTCTCTGATGTCTTTCCAACCTGCAAATAAAAATTATTATTTTTCTATAAATTTTACAAATTCTTAAACTTTCTGTAAAATTTTCAATATTTTTAAGTCTCTTGGGTTTCAATCTAAAATATACAATTTCTAAAAGTCCTTTGTGTATTTCTACTAATTTTGAAAGTTGATTTTTCACGTAAATTCTTGAAATTATGTTTTTTTAAAGTATTTCTACTAGTTGTGCAAATTCTATAAATTTTGGATATTTTCTATAGCTTGGGCACTTGTACATACTTAATTATAACAGTAATCTCCTGAATTATGAGACAATTTAGGAGGCGAGAATATTTCATAATATCATCTAACCTTTATCTTTGTTTTTAAAATTTAAATATAAAGAAACAAATGATAATATAAAGAATTTAATTTTTTATATGTTAGGTACACAATTTAAATCTTTAGATTGTCAAAATATTAAACATTTGTTTGTTTTTTCTAGTAAATAAATGGGTTTTTAGAGAACTACCCATAATTTAGGCCCTAATTCATGTTATTATCCTTAATTACTCAATTTTTAGAAAACCACCCATATTGAACATTCTACTAACATGGAACCACCTAAGCACTTTTCCATCCAATTCTCCATCCAACAAATTATGTTTTACCCTACAAAGAATAAGGAGTTTTTTGATTCGAAACTTGTGATTTTATTACAAAGAATGTCAAAATTTCAATCGAAACTTTTATTAGTTACACATTTTCAAGCTTAAGGTCAACCAATGTTCAGTGGAAAGATGCTGAATGCAAACATTTATATGGTAGAACTTATTTCTTAATGTTCCATTAATAAAATGGGTGGTTTCTGCGATAAAAGATTTTCGGTATGGAAAATGATGAAATAATTTGATTTATGTGGTTTTGATCTTGATTTTTTTCTGTGATTTTAATCCAAATAAGTTAGAACTGGAACTTACTGCCAGCTCTATCACCCTGAGCAGCTCATCTCTGGCAAAGAAGATGTTGCCAAAAACTTTGCTCGTGGACATTACACAGGTATAACAGTCCTCACTGAATCCCTTCTTATTTTTGTTTTCTAATTCTTCTGTATCAAAAAAGGATTGGTCTTTTATATGTTACCTCTGGTTATAAGTTTTATTGTTATGTTGTATTGTAGTTGGGAAGGAGATCGTAGATCTGTGTCTCGATCGCGTTAGAAAACTAGCAGACAATTGCACTGGTTTGCAAGGATTCTTGATTTTCAATGCTGTCGGTGCTGGTACTGGATCTGGTTTGGGCTCCTTGCTGTTGGAAAAGGCTTTCGGTTGATTATGGAAAAAAATCAGAGCTTGGTTTTACCATCTGTCCTTCACCTCAGGTACTACTAATCCCTCTTTGGTCAAGTGATTTGTCTTTGAGTAGATACTAGTGTCCAGTATATCTTCTCAGAAAACCCCGAGAGAATAAATCTGTTTATGGTGAATTCAGAAGATGTTTGGCGAAGTTCTTGAAGATGTAGGAGATAGGTGGAGAAAGATAAGATAATCAATTGTCTATAAATGTCTATAAATTTAGATGTGTATTACTAAGTTCGCGCCAGTCAAATTTGCAACATAATAGTTTTAAGATTCAGACAATGCACAGATTTTAAACTTTCTATTAACATTTTTTTTAATTATGCAATAATTTAGCAGTATATACTACACCTACATACGTTGAAAAAAGTTTTGGTTCTTCTTTGCTTCAGCATGTGGCCACTGAAGTGCCTTTTTCTATTAATAAGCTTCCCCCCCCCCCCTCCCTTCCCCCCTTCAGTCTCCGCTTTACCTCATACAAGTTGCCATGAGCATCCAACTATGTCCATTCTTAGGAGTTGTAAGAGCATCCACCGTGTTCACTTGGAAGTTGGTACCCATTATAAAATGTGATGTTTATTTATTTTGCCCCTGCACGCAACCATGTGGATATCGCTGTTGTGGGCCTCTGCCCATCTATGTGTATGTGCCTTGGCTATGAAGGCTAATGATCATTGGCATGTGGGATCAGGGTGGTGGGTTCTGTTGCTTATGTTTGCTCTAAGCAGACAATTCTTTGAAATATTTATATGACTTCTTCCTATTATATCTGTTCTTTTTCCTTTGCTTAATTATTTTCCAACAGCTGGTCTTTTGTGTTTACTATTATATCACAAATTTGAACCATTTTTAAAATACAACGTAACACCTTATCTATGTAATACATTTTTTTTGGTTTAGTCCCTTAAATCTTTAATATTTTGAAATTAATCACTCAAAAGTCAAATTATTGCAATTGCTATTACATCCCCCAATTCTTATGAGTTGTCTCAAAATTAGTTCCTTGAATCATTGAAATTGCTATTAAGTCCCTCATTCTCATAGTTTATTTCAAATTAATGCCTTCAATCAAGAGTAAGCAGTAGCAAGATATGAAACTTGGAGGAACTAATAGCAATTTCAATGATTTGAGGGAAAGATTTCAAAATATTGAAGATTAAAAAGAGGAATACAGCGAAAGGCCAACTTACACCAATTTGAACCGCTTGATATCTCAGATCATCTCCTCCTTGACCACTTCGCTTGGGTTTGATGGCACTATCAATGTTGATATAACAGAATTCCAAACAAACCTTGTACCATATCCTAGGATCCGTTCCATGCTTTCCTCTTATGCGCCCGCTATCTCTGCTGCGAAAGCATACCATGAACAGCTCTCGGTTCCTGAAATCACAAATGCTGTCTTTGAGCCCTCGAGTATGTTGGCAAAGTGTGACACGAGACGTGGGAAGTGCATGGCCTGTTGTTTGATGTATAGTGGGGATGTTGTGCCCAAGGATGTTAAAGCAGCAATTGAAACTATTAAAACCAAGTGGACTGTCCAATTCGTGGACTGGTAAGATTAAGCTGCTCTGAATTTTACCTATTATTCATTTACTTATTTTCTGAATTTTTGCATACATGCCTTTGAATATGCATACTAACGTTCAAATTTTAAGGAGCTCCATGTTTATAGCTTAAAGCGTCAATTATGTTTTATTAGCTGCAAGACAACACAGTTATAATAAATACTGATTCATAATGAAAATGATACAATTTTATTTGTATTTTAAGCTCTAGGTTTGTATACGACTAGAGTATATATTCTTGGAGTAACTTCACAAATCACATTCAGCAGCTTTTTTGTTGCCTTTTTTTTAATCATTATATGTCCATGAATATCTTGACCTCGGGATATTCCACAAACGTAGCAACAACAAAGAAAACATCTTTTTTTTTTTTTCAGTATCTAACAAATATTCATTGTTCCTGGCTCATACAACTGGCAACTATTGTACCCTTTTCTACTTTAGTAAAAACACATTCTACAAACGTAGCTACAACAAAAACAGTATCTTTTTTCATTATATAACAAATATCCACTGTTCTCTCCTTTTTTCTCGTGGCTCATACAACTGGCAACTATTGTACCATTTTCTACTTTAATCTAGGTTTGCTTTGATCTGCCTATAGTCGTTGCAGCTCTTTTAACTGCCTTTCTGTCATACTAAACTGCAGGCTAGGGCAACTCATTGCACTCGTTGTGCCTGACCGTCTGAACAGTTTCATCCTCATTATCTTCAGTTCACTCTCTCCAACTTAAGAGTCTTGTTTGCTCCATAGTCATCAGAAGAGTTATCCTTTAGACCATGTTTAGATTGAGGACTTGTTTTATCCCGAGATTAATTTAACTCATTATAGCCCTGGGATATAATAATCCAGCAGACTATAGTGAGTTAAAATTTTAATAACATGTTTTTGGTGTTAACACCTCTAATACCTATGTTCTGTTTGGAAGCTTGTCATTGTAAGGTGGTATTAGATTAAGGCATAACAATAAATGTCCATAATGTCCCCCTAGCTACGGATTATAGCTTTCATGTTAAAATAATATGAAAAACAGGTGTTAATAATCTACATAGTCCGCATGTAATTAAGTTTGACTACAATACGCTTCACAAATTTATTTCTTTTTTCATTTTATCTTCAGTGTGAGCTTTCAGTGTAATGTTCATGCTTCTCTCTTTACGTGGTCTAGTTGGCACGTGCTTGCATCAATTTGAGATTGCAACGTAACATCTTATTTATTCATTCCATGTCAGGAGCCAACGCAGAGGCAGCTGGAATTGAGGTTGGAAGCTGGAATTGAGGCTGGAAGCTGGGAATCTGGGAAGGAGCTGACTGTGTATACCTGTGGGACTGATATGCAAGAATAAGGACTGATACGCAAAAGATTGGGGCTAGCATGCAAAGTCTCAAAGTTTGAGGGCTATAATACTTGTTGACTGTTTGTTTGTTAGTTCTGTTAGAGATTTCACAAGGTCTCAAAGTTTGAGGGCTATAATACTTGTTGACTGTTTGTTTGTTAGTTCTGTTAGAGATTTCACAAGTGTGCACGTGCACAGTTAGGAGGTTGTTTTTCTGTTATTTTCTGTTAGTGATTCAACAGTGTGCACGTGCACAATCTGTTTAGAAGAAGAGAAGGGTATAAATAGTCAACTGTAATAATTGATATTAAAGTTGTTGAATAATACAAAAATCTCTCAGTCCTATACAATTTCTTCATTCTACAGTCTCTCTCTCTCATCTCTGTCTCTTCTTCTCAAAAGCTGAACTCTCTCATCTCTGTCTCTTCTTCTCAAAAGCTGAATTAAAGCTGAAATCAATGGCTAGGAAAGTGAATCGAGGTCTTCGATCCTCACAATTGGTATCAGAGCAACAAGAAACTGAAGCGGGCGCTGAGGATTTCTTGAACGATCAGGTGGAAGTTGAGGTTGATGAGCCTACTCCAGAGGATCGATTCGCTAGATTAGAGGATGCTGTTGTCAGGAGCAGCTCTTTCAATCGACAACAGGATTCTTTCAATCATAAATTTTCAACACAGATGGGTGAACTATCTTCGAAGCTGGAGTTTCTAACTCAAGAGTTCAAGAATTTCAAGAATTCCAAGAACTCTGACCAAGGAATTCTTGGTTCTGGTCCGAGGGAAGATCACAGGACTCTGGATTCAAGTTCAAGAGGAGCTGGTGACTTCAATAGGAATGATCACAGCAGTGGATATCAGCTACAGAATCGAAGGACTCCTGATTTCAGTGGAGAGTTTCAATCTGCTCATAGCTTAGGTAATACATCAACTCCAAGAAACTCTTTCTTTAGCAATCAAAAATTGGTTCAACCGAAATCTTTACGCTTAGATTTTCCCTCTTTCTCAGAATCGAAGGACTCCTGATTTCAGTGGAGAGTTTCAATCTGCTCATAGCTTAGGTAATACATCAACTCTAGGAAACTCTTTCTTTAGCAATCAAAAATTGGTTCAACCGAAATCTTTACGCTTAGATTTTCCCTCTTTCTCTGGATCTGAGAATATTATAGCTTGGTTAGAGCAAACTGAACAGATCTTTGAGTATTATGATATTAAAAATGAGGAATGGGTTAAGGTTTGCTCATTCTATCTAAGGGAAGAAGCCTTGCAGTGGTATAGGTGGTTCACTAGGAATATTGAAGATTATTATCAATGGACTGTTTTTAAGGAAGAAATTTTAACAAGATTTGGTCCTAGTGAACTCACGAGACCATATGATGCTTTCTCAACCATGAAATAGACTTCTACAGTCAGGGAATACTTGGGCAAATTTGAGCAAGCATTAGGAATGTTAGATGATCAACCCTCTAGGAGACACATCCTTGAAAGGTTTATAGGGGGTTTGAAAGATGAATTGAGATATGATGTTTCAGCAGCTAGACCAACTTCCTTAAAGGGAGCTGTATCCCTGGCCAAACTCTTTGAGGACAAACAGAAAAATGAAAGGAAATCTAAGGGTCACTGGAATTACTTAAATTCAGATGGTTCTTCAATGAACAAATCTCAAAATCCTTATATTAGATCTTCAGATCCTCTGACAGTCAAACCCTTTCATCAGTTCAAGAAACTGACCTCTGAGGATATACAAAAAAGAAGGAGTCAAAACTTGTGTTTTACCTGTGATGAAAAATGGCATAGGGGTCATCAATGCAAAGGGAAACAATTGTTTGTCTTAGAAGGGGTCATGGAGGGTGAACTGGATAGGACTGCAGTAGATTCTGGAGAGGAGGAAGAAGAAGATTCTAAAGTCATGGAGTTGGCTGAAAGCCTAGCAAGAGGAGCTCCCTCTATTTCAGTACAAGCATTGAATGGAATTACTGCCTCCCACACAATTAGGGTGGTAGGATATTACAAAAATCAAGCTGTTAACATCCTAATAGACTCAGGATCTACACACAATTTTATTAATGTCAAACTGGTGAAGAAATTGGGTATAACAGTAACATAATCAAGTAATTTTGATGTTCTAGTAGCCAGTGGTGAGCTAATTAAAGGAGGAGGAGTGTGTCCAGGAGTATCTTTAGACTGTCAAGGGGTGAGTATTCATGTTAACCTATTGGTTATGCCTATGGGGGGGCAGTCAAGTGGTTTTAGGAGCTGACTGGATGAGAACATTGGAGGATATTACTTTGAACTTCAACAAACTACAGGTGACATTCATGAATGAGGGGGTTAAAAGAACTTTGCAGGGGGTACTCCCAGGTGATTTGCAGTTGGTTGACAGTAAGCAAATTGCAAAAACTATCAGAGAGCAAGAACAAGGATTCTTCATCCAATTGTGTAGTGTGAGTCTACAAACGTGCACAACAGAAGGTGCACAGGAAGAATTACCTACAGAAGTGCAAAGGCTGGTACAAGAGTTTGAAGATGTATTTAAGGAGCTACTACAACTTCCTCCTAGAAGGGACATAGATCATAAAATTCCACTGGAAGAGGGCACAAAGCCAGTCTGTATCAGACCATACAGGCATGCACACCTCTTAAAAGATGAAATTGAAAAGCAAGTGGAGGAAATGCTGCACAGAGGTATTATTAGACCTAGCAACAGTCCCTTCTCTTCTCCAGTTGTGATGGTAAAAAAATCTGATGGAGGTTGGAGGATGTGTGTAGATTACAGATCTCTTAATCAAGCTACCATCAAAGATAAATTTCCCATACCTGTGATAGATGAACTTTTGGATGAATTGCATGGGGCAAAATTCTTTACTAAGCTAGATTTAAAATATGGATATCACCAGATTAGAATGCATGAATCTGATATTCCAAAAACTGCCTTTAGGACTCATAGTGGTCATTTTGAGTTTCTGGTAATGCCATTTGGCCTCACTAATGCTCCTTCTACTTTTCAAGCCCTTATGAATTCTATCTTCAAAGACCTACTCAGGAAATCTATCCTTGTCTTCTTTGATGATATTTTGATATATAGTGCAAAGTGGCAGGACCATTTAATTCATCTGAGGCAAGTGTTCTTGATTATGAGGAAACATCAGTTGGTGGCAAAAATGTCAAAGTGCAGTTTTGGACAACATCAGGTGGAGTATTTAGGCCATGTGGTATCACAAGAGGGAGTTGGGGTTGACCCTAACAAGATAAAGGCTATCATTGAGTGGCCAAGACCAACAACTTTGAAGAGGCTGAGAGGTTTTTTGGGCTTAGCAGGATACTATAGAAAGTTTATCAAAGGATTTGGAGCAATAGCACAGCCTTTGACCCAACTTTTGAAGAAAGGAGCTTTCACATGGACTGACTGTGCTGAAAAGGCTTTTGACACCTTGAAAGAGGCACTGACTCAACCTCCAGTCCTAGCTATGCCCAATTTCAACTTACCATTTATCATTGAGTGTGATGCTTCAGGGTCAGGGATTGGGGCTGTATTGATGCAAGAGGGAAGACCTATAGCTTACTTCAGTTTTGCTTTGAAAGGAAGGAATGTTACATTATCCACATATGAGAAGGAGTTAATGGCAATCATTCTATCAACAAAAAAATGGCAGCAATATTTACTAGGAAGAACATTTGTGATCAGAACTGATCATCAGAGTCTTAAATACTTACTGGAGCAAAGAATCAACACAGGTATTCAAAATAAGTGGCTTGCGAAATTACATGGCTATGACTATAAGGTGGAATACAAGCCAGGTAGATTGAATAATGCTGCAGATAGTTTATCCAGACTTCAGGATGATGGAGATGAGATTCCTGCTCCTATAACTGAGGTTTCATCACTCACTACTCTTACTAGTGATTGGTTAGAGGAGATTAAACATATGTGTTCTACAGATGATTATTTTGAGCAAGTGGATGCCAAGTTGCAGCAGGGACAACTGGATACTGGAAGATATGTCAAGAAAGGAGGGCTCTACTTCTACAAAGGGAGACTTTTGATTAGTCCTACAGCTCAACACATTAAATCCTCCTTATTGAAAGAGCACCATGATAGTCCAATAGCAGGGCACTCTGGAATCACTAGGACCCTGCAGAGGCTTAGACAAGCTTGTTATTGGGAAGGTATGAAAAGGGATGTCCAGACTTATGTAAAAAATTGTGATGTCTGCCAAAGAACAAAAGGGGAAAACATAGCCCCCCCAGGACTCTTGCAACCCTTACCTGTTCCAGATTATATATGGGAGGACATTTCAATTGATTTCATTACTCAGCTACCAAAAAGTGGGGATAAAAGTGTTATTTTTGTGGTGGTGGACAGATTGTCTAAGTATGCTCATTTTTTCCCACTGTCACATCCTTACAATGCTTCTTCAGTTGCTCATGTATTCTTTGAAGGAGTGTTTAGATTGCATGGCATGCCTAAGTCTATTGTGAGTGATAGAGATCCCTTGTTTACAAGTCTCTTTTGGAAGACATTGTTTAAATTACAAGGCAGTCAGTTGAAGTTCAGCTCAGCCTATCACCCCCAAACTGATGGCCAAACAGAGATTATTAACAAAATTTTAGAGGGTTATCTGCGCTGTTTTTGCTGTCACAAGCCTAAGGAGTGGAGTAAATGGTTGCCTCTAGCTGAGTATTGGTATAATACAACCTGGAAAGTATCTACAAACACCACTCCTTTTACAACAGTATATGGCAGGCAACCCCCTTCCTTACTTACTTATATTCCTAAGAGCTGCAAGGTTGAAGCAGTGGATGAGGTTCTCTTTTCCAGAGATATAGCCCTTCAGTTGTTGAAAGACAGTTTGAAGAAATCAGTGATGCAAATGAAGAAATTTGCAGATAGACACAGAAGCCACAGAATTTTTGCAGTAGGTGATTGGGTTTATCTTAAACTTCAGCCTTATAGGCAGGTCAGTGTCTCTTCATGCAAACCTCACAAATTATCTCCCAAGTATTATGGTCCATACCAGATTTTGGAGAAGATAGGTGAGGTAGCTTACAAGTTAGAACTTCCTACTCATGCCAAGATCCACCCTGTCTTTCATGTTTCCTAGTTAAAGAAGAAAGTAGGTTCTGATATCAATTTACAGAGTGATCTGCCTAGTTTTGTAGAAGAAATAATTGATGAGCCTGAGGCGATATTGGATAGAAGATCAATCATAAAAGGGAATCATTTGGTATCTGAGGTTCTTATTAAGTGGAAACAAAGACCTTCATTTGATTCTACTTGGGAATCCTACTGGGACTTGGTGAAGAGGTTTCCCACTTTTGACCTTGAGACAAGGTCAAATTTAGGTGGGGGGAATTGTCAGGAGCCAACGCAGAGGCAGCTGGAATTGAGGTTGGAAGCTGGAATTGAGGCTGGAAGCTGGGAATCTGGGAAGGAGATGACTGTGTATACCTGTGGGACTGATATGCAAGAATAAGGACTGATACGCAAAAGATTGGGGCTAGCATGCAAAGTCTCAAAGTTTGAGGGCTATAATACTTGTTGACTGTTTGTTTGTTAGTTCTGTTAGAGATTTCACAAGTGTGCACGTGCACAGTTAGGAGGTTGTTTTTCTGTTATTTCCTGTTAGTGATTCAACAGTGTGCACGTGCACAATCTGTTTAGAAGAAGAGAATGGTATAAATAGTCAACTGTAATAATTGATATTCAAGTTGTTGAATAATACAAAAAATCTCTCAGTTCTATACAATTTCTTCATTCTACAGTCTCTCTCTCTCTCATCTCTGTCTCTTCTTCTCAAAAGCTGAATTAAAGTTGAAATCAATGGCTAGAAAAATGAATCGAGGTCTTCGATCCTCACATTCCATCTCCTACGCCCACTTGACTGACTTCGCTTGGAGTAATTAATTTAGAACTATGAAACTTCAAATCATCAATTATGTTTTCAAATCATCAATTATGTTCATGATATGCTCACCGCGAAAATTTTGTGTTTCGTTTTTTTACCTTTTTTGTTCCGGGTCTTGATGTTCCAGTTTCTTTCTTTTTCTTTGTCATAGTAGATGGTGGAATGGAAAAAACCAAAAAGGGAGCCTAGCTAGATAATGTTTAGGAAAGTCAAGAGACGAAAGTCTTTTTGAATCTAATCCCAAGTGAAAAATAG